TTCCAGGGCTCTGTCACCCTCACAGGAAAGAAGTTCTTCCTCACATGGAGGTGGAACTTCCTGTGTTTTAATTTGTACCCATTCCCCCTTGTCCTGTCATTGGCCACCACCGAGAAGAGTTTGGCCCCTTTCTCTTCACACTCTCCCCCCAGTTTTCCATGCTGAGCTGACAAAGATCCTGAAGTCATGTCCCAAAGCACAATCACACCTCCTGAACTACATTGCCTGTGAGGTCTTACCATGATTCTCAAGTAGCTTATTTAACAAACAAAAAATAATAGCTTATTTTTTTCTTATTTAGCTAATTTTCAACTATCACATATCTTGGGAGAAGGGACAGATAAAGGCATTTTTTCTCTGATTTGATGAATCCAAAAATATGACTTTGCACTGAAAAAAAAGAAAGATTGGATATTTTAAAGTAACCCCATTTTTACAACACAAGAATGAACATGAGACTCTAAAACTAGTTTATTTATTCTTACATCAACTGACTCCCGATTTGAAGTATTATCCTCAGTTTCCTATTCCTGTGCAAAACTTGGCTGTTATTTCAGGAAATGCATAAAATATAACAGGAGAGCGCTGTCAGAAGGGCAGTAATGCAGTGATTTTAAATGGGACTGTTTCCAGCTGGGTTCTGCTGTTGATTCTCCCTGCCAGGACAAAGCTGGCAGAAGAAAACTACTGTGCTGAGGCTGTCATCTTAGCTTAAAACTGCCCTTATTACAGTAAGAAAAGGCTCCAAACTTCACATTTGAACAACTGAAGCATCTGCACATATTCCTAACAAACAAGTGACTGTGCTGACCCAGCAAAAGATGGGAATTGATTTCTACGAACAGGAATATCCTAATGTATATCCAGCCTCATCTCTAAATGGAGTTGCACATAAAGACTCTCCAAAACCCCAATTCTTGTTCCTCTTCTCAGTCAAAAAGGATTGGAGAAGACAGGTCTATTTCTTCTCTTTCAACCCATTCTTTTCCCCTTCTCTCCCACTCTTTTCCAATCTTCCAAATGTGACAGGTCACAAGGGAAGGAGAAAAGCCAAACAGGGATGTAACAGGCTTAAGCTGCTAGGAGAGAGATGCTTCTTCCTCCCTCAATTATCATTCCCATCTCCTGTTCAGCACTCGATTTTTTATCCCAGCCAACAGTGTGTAGTGCACGGAGCCACCATGACTACATGAGCACAACAGTGAAATCAGGTGCAGTCTAGTAGGGGATTTGGGACTTATTTAACATGTAAGAAATGCAGTTGGTGACTGCCAGCACAGAAAGAAACAACCCCAGAACTGCGGATTTAAATTCATCACTCTCTTTTGTTGCTCGTTACAGCTCTGTCATCCAGTTTGAGGCACTTGATTCTTTAGCTCGAGCTCATAGGAATGAAAGTTATTGTTCAAAAAGAAAAAAATCAGTGCTAGAGGGCTACTACACTGCTCGCATCTGCCTAAACAGTTGTGCTGCTTAAAGCATTGTATTTATTACTACTCTTAACAGAAATAAATCATTTTATGAATATTTTGCATTTTGGGGGGAGGTTACAAAGCCAAATGCTTGCTTTAAGAAAACCTTAAATTTTCAAAATTGTATTTTCTGATTATACCACTTCAACTTCAGCATATTTCCAAGGCAGGAATTTTAATAGTAACAGCCATTTCTTTAAACATTAACCCAATTTTCAGCCTCTTCTCACCACTGAACTTTGTGTTATGCATTTCATGTACTTAAGTTTATTTAATGTTTGACATCTGATACAGGCCAGACAGGATAAATAAGGGTAAAGGTATAACAGTAATATCCATTAGTTTACCACTTAATTCTGTAGACCTAGTGTAAAACACTATTCATTTAACCAGTTGTGAAGTGCATAACCAACATGGTAAACACCACCTCTTTGCAGCTTTCATGGAACTCATGGTTGCTCTATTTATTATTACCATAGGTGCCATCAGGTGTAAAACAGGATAAGGAAATGAATATTTAAAAAGATTCTGAATGTTTAAAATTGAGCATATCACTTTCCTCACATTTTTATCTACCCTCTCTTCAAAACTGTATTTTCCTGAGGAAATGATTACCTACAGACCATCCTATATATCCCTTTAAATTGATATATTTTACTACAATTCCAAATGAAATGTCTATGTAAAAATCAACAGGATAATTTCAGAGATGGTGTAGTTATCTAAATACAAATTTAGAACTTAATTATCTTTATGGGCTTGCTTCTTCCTGTGTGCATGGCTTGGCATAGACATGTTAATACAAGCATCCATATCTAGAAAGGCAATGAGATTGAGAGAGAGAATTATTTTTTGGTGTGCAAAACTCTATTTTTATGTGTGATTAAAAAATATGCTATTACCTTTTTTTGCCTGTATTACTGTTTAAAAATCAGTGATTCTGGAGACTGCACATGAAAGAAGAAATTTCCATGGGAAGAGCAATGCCTGTTTTATCAACGTGAACAGCAGGTCGCTTTGCAGAGTTTATGGAGACACAGACTCCACCGTTTTGCCTGAGACACAAGTTCTGCTAACACCAGCCAGGCAACGTATGCCCGTCTGCGGAATAAAATCTATAGGAAAATAGCGAGCTACCTGCCATGTAATTGAGGGACCACCAACCACCGTACGCGTACAGCCCCTGGAAGAAGGCTTCGGCGATCTGCGACACGTTGGGGACCTCGGAGCCAAACGCGTCCTTGAATCTCGCCAGGTGCTCCTTGCGGCCCGCGACGAGCAGCATGATGCCGCCCCCGGCAATCACCGACAGCGCCACCATCTTCAGCACCGTGAAGATGCTCTGCACCCACGCGGCCATCCTGACGCTGCGCCCGTTCAGGATGCCCAGGCTCCAGAGAGTCGCCAAGGCCAAGCATTTCTTGAGCACTTCTGGTGCCGGGCACCTGCCGTAGAAGGGCTGCGTGGCGTACTCGGCGAAGAGCAAGGCTCGAGCGGCGTTCGATGCCGGCTTCGTGAGCATCGACGTCCAGATGAACATGAAGGCTGGCAGGCCTCCGAGGCCTCTCTTAATGTGGCTGTATTCGCCTCCGGAGAGGGGCAGCGCGGTTCCCAGCTCGGCGTAGCACAGGGAGCCCATGAGGGACACCAGCCCCGACGCGGTCCAGATGACGAGGGCCACGCCGACGTTCAGCACGCAGTGCTTCAGCACTCCCGTGGGAGACACGAAGATCCCTGCCCCCACGATCGTTCCTATGATAAAACTTACCCCATCAAAATAACCAATATTTCTTTTGAGTCGCATCTTCCCCTTATCTTTTCTTTTCACATCTTTCCCCATTTTCAACAGCAGTTCAGATGACTTCAGAGACTGGACGACACGTACTTGCCATTCGCTTTGCTGTTAGAAGATGGTCATGGCCCTGCTAGTGAAACGCTACGGAAAGCCTGGTTTAATCATTCAGAAAAGGGATAGCACACTTTGGGTTTTGATGCCTTGTGCGTGAAGATCATTAACCAGCTACTTCCAGAAACGTTGGCAACTCACATAAAGGCTGGTTTAATACTTACTGCACAAACTCTTAAGGTCTGCGCATTTTTTAAAGAAACTGGCATAACAATAATATACAGTAAATGCTTTTCTTTTTGCTGGTGATTCTCACCGTATGATTTGAAAATATTTTTGTCTTCAGAAGTGGTTCTGTGAGGTGGTATGTGTTACCTCTCCATCAGAGCTAGGGAAAGGAGTAGGGGGTGGCAGGCATCAAGAAAGTCAACCCTCCTTCTGGTATTGATTGGGAAAGAGGCTTTAGTTGAAGAGGCAAGTACTTCTTGAGGGTATTCAATACTTCTTGATTATTTTTCCACAGTCAATACATAAAAAGGACAGGGATCGCTAGCAGACCCCAATATGTTTTGCTGAATCCTGACTAGTCAGACTAGTCCTGAATTAAGCTCATGCAGGGTCCTGCACCTAGGTAGGAATAACCCCAGGCACCAGTACAGATTAGG